AAGTTTAAACGTCTCTAGCGATAGATCGAAATTACATACAGTTCCCGTTTCTCGGTCCTTTGTCATTCAAGTGAATGTACATCTCATATTCTTTTCAGTCTCCATTCATGTTGAGTTAAGATCGGGGATTAGGGGGTGACGTCGGGTCGGCAGTCGAGTCTACCGAGTCGGTTTGTTTTTCATAATGAGTCGCCTAGTAAAAGGCTTGGACCTCTAGGGTGACGATGAAATAGTTTGCCCAGCGGCGGAAGTCATTCTTTGCGTGAAATTGCCTCGTTAACTCGCAATAGTTTACTGCGTTTCTGTCTCTTTTCACATTAGCCTTCCCCCCGCCCCACCCACCCCCCTTCCGCATATTACGACGAATTTAACGGATTTATTATTTCCGTTTTTTTTTAACATTCGAAAGCGGCGAAAAGTTTTCGTTTCGAGCCGGTCGTAAATCGAAATGGAAACACGGATGGCTTCAATACCACTTTTGCTTTAACATAGTTTAGTATAAAGTTTAGGTAATACAGGGCAATAAAAAACTACTTTCGCTACATTATATAATAGAACTCGTAGCGGAAATGCGACATCTTAATACAATCTCGAGTTATAAGTAACCTGTTCGATACACATAACAAAATTTTTCTATCGCATTCTATAAAATTCAAATAAAGTTAAAGTAATACGTGAAATTTACCTTATTAATTAATTTTTCTGTGCACTTAAGACTAAACATTAAATTTGCATTAAATCTACTACTTAATTTGCGTCGGCGAAAAACTTTTCTTCCATCTATTTCTACAAATTTTAATACATGTTATGTTCGAGTTAATATAAGTTATCAATAATAAAGAAATTTTAAATAATACTCGGTTTCTCTAGAGAAGAGTCCTTTTTTAACTGAGATGACGCACTCTAATCGGAAAACTGTCCCTTTAAATGTCAGGGCGGACCCGCTGTCCTAAAGAGGGAGTCTTCAACGGCCTTCCGGCGTTATCTCCGAGCCTATTCAGCCGGGACCTTGGAAACGATGCTGAGGTATAACCGACAACGGCTCCGCCCTGTAGGTAGACGTTCGGTGCCCCGTTTGCATTGGGCTCGGGACTGGTTCGCTTTCAAGTACACTCACTCGTCTGAACGAGCCTCGAAGGAACTGGCTCCCGATGTGGTCAAGGGCTGAGACATATGATGACTCAATTCTATTCTACTTCTCGGCTGCCGTAGCTTAGTTTGTCATTTAATTATCCGTATGTTTTTCAAAGAAATATTTTTAATTCTTTAATGTTTTTTGTTATAAAACCTAACTTATAAAAGTAAAGTAAAGTAACAGCCTATACATGTCCCACTGCTGGGCAAAGGCCTCCTCTATACAGAGGATATCAGGGCATAGTCCACCACGCGGCCCCACTTCGGATTGGCGGACTTCACATATCTTCGAAATATATATTTTTTTGTTATTATTTCGAAAATATGCAGGTTTCCTCACGATGTTTTCCTTCACCGCAGAGCACGTGATAAGTCAGCACTTAAAGTTAAAAACTTCATTGGTGCCGGCACCGGGGATCGAACTCAGGTTGCTCGAGTATATTGAATTAAAGGCGAGCGCCCGGACACTGAGCTATCACGGCCCTAACTTATACCCTATGATAATTTGTTTGCGAATTAATATTAGGTACATGATAGGATGTTAATTCCTATTTATATCGCTATATTCTAATCATATTACAGAATGCGCAAATATTATATGTTCGCTAGAAGGTTATCATCATAGTGATAAATACAGAGTAATCTCGAATTATATAATCTATTAAATAAATTATAAGAAATACGGGAAACGGAAAAAAAATTCTAGTGAAAATCCATTAAAATGAAATAACATACAGAGACTATTCAATATATTTATAAAGTCTGCTGTTGAAAAATCCAGTATCTAACTTCGGAATCGAACGACCTATAGTTCGCATCCGAATAAGCATAGGCGTTCACCGCTGACCCACCGGGTACATCCGCGTCAATCGATCCGTCCGCCTCGGTCGACCCAGTAGCTCTTTACAGAAACCGGATCCGTGCAAGGAAGCAACGGCGCACCTTTGACGCGATACGTATACAACGAGTTCCTCAGTATTGCGGTGTTGGCGAAATGCGAGATAACTGACGCGTCGGATGTCTGAATGGAGCGTCGGTGGTCGAACACTCGAGCCGCCTTTGTTGCCAAGACATTTCTTCAATAACCATCTCAGACTTTGCCAGAAAGCGCTCGACTGCTAGGTTGACTGCAAAAAATAAAATAAAGCTTTCTCGATGTAATAAACGGAAGCGATAGTGATTATTATGAAACGATTGTTGGTCTACTCTTAATGTTAAGTGGTAACGGTGGTGGTTGCATGTGCGTTGCAGCCTTTTAATATATTGGGTGAAAGACTAAAAACTGGTGAATACTGGATAAAATAATTGTTAATTGGGATTTACATACCACTTGCGAATAAGGTGTGGTTAATCAAAAAGTCGTCTTATTACAAAAGTTTTGCAAGTAAATATAGTATAACTAGGAATGTTAATTATGATCTAGCGAATCCATACGTTTGCACAATACATAAAACCGTTTAAAAACTTTAAAGTTAAACGGTTTTATTTTATGTGCACTGAAAACTACAATATTGTATTGTCATCTAAATTAAATGTGTGTACCGAATTTCAGATCAATCTGACAACGGAAAGGTGCTTAAATTTCAATTTTTGATTTTGACCCAAATAAATAAACAAATTCCGTACGGGTCGAGCTAAATGAAACCGTTTAAAAATGGCAGTACTTATAATTTAACCGATAAAAGGCGCGTTCAATTTCTAAAAATAGCTGTTTGAGAATAATGAAATGCAGCTGAGAATATCGCAAAATTCCGACTCACAAAAGAAAAAAACTTACCGGTTTTGGTGACTTAAGATGTTTGTGGATATTCATTTATAATGTTGTTTATGCATACGATTTAAACTAATGAATTTTCCGCAGTAAACAAACCGTTAAAATTTCAAAAGGTTGTCAACGCATCTACAACCCTCGGGTTTAGCAGATGTCTATGGGCGGCGGTATTCACTTAACATCAACTGAACCTTCTGCTCGCTTGGCAACTTTTCACATAAAAAAAAAATACTATTACTTGATAAAATATTGTGTTATTCTCTTTTAGATTTAGATTAATTTTATTTTGTTATAATGTTGAAGGTGGCATACAACGATATCGCCTGATATTATGAGATTACCCTTTACAACGCCCGTTATGAAGCATTAACGATTTTGGCCCGAAAAATAAACTTGAAATTGTTGAGCTTCGATTCCCGTTCTTTAAGAGTATGTCAAAAGGCATATAATGTGTAATAAATAATAAATTAATACAAACACTTATTCTGCGGTGGAACTTCTACAGACGCGAGCCAATAAAATGAAGAATGATAAATATGGATTAAAAGGACTTCGCTTCGCTATGTTGTCAACATTAACTAGAAGCCAATATGAATCGAATTTTATTCTTCGTCGAGCTTTTGCCGAGTGTTAATCTATTCGTGCGCTACTTTTAGCTTCCGTAAAACGTGAGGCGCAGTTTATTCCGTTAACGTATCTACTCCCCGGCATCTCTCTGTTTGTAAACGTTTACGTTCGCTTGTGTTTTCATAGCGGTTCCGTTTTCAAGCACTTCAGGGTTTCACCGTATTTACAGCGAGGTTTGCGGCGCCCAAGCGAATGTAGCCTCTGTCTATGACGGATTAAGGTTACTTTTGGTATGATCTGTAGTTTGTGTTGAGTTGCATACCGCTGAAGTCCTTCGCGGTTTATATCATTTGTATACATTGTGGATTTTTTGCTTTCTACTATAGCCGTTGACGATTTTGTATAGAACCTTCAAAGCTAAGGTCACACCACGGATTTACTTGATTTTTACCAAAACTATCATTACCGGATTTTAAATTGCGAACAGAAACCGTACAGAATTTGAAGCAAGGAATGTAAGCGATAAAAGTTAATACTCGGAGGCAATCGAGTAGAAAATTAAATATTTTGTTAATGGATACGTTTGTGCAATATTATTGTCACTATGTTTTCTAGTCTTGAGTTAACAATCCCGGCACCGCTGGGGACCTGAGTAATTTACCATGACCTCAAAATTATTTTTTGTCTATCCATACAATCAGGTGATTGTAAGTAGAGATGTAGTTTTCGATGGCAAACAACGCTATCTCTAACGACCTGCTCACTATTGCTTTGAAGACAAACAATATAATAGGATCTATTTTCGTCGCGATGACTACCCGTTTGATGGACATTATCTCGGCTTCACAGTTAGCCGCTTCCTAATGCGTTCCTTCGTAATGGTTTATTGTTTACCAACTCTTCTATCGTCCGCTAATGTTTTAGATATTATCTGTGCACCCGAACGTATCGCTGTTTGCTTATCTGTGTCGACGCTTTGTCATTCCTCGGCGGTAATTACTCAGATGTCTGTAATGGTGATTCCATGATTGGTTTAGGTTCTTGTTTAGTTACCTTTTATGTCATGTTTCCGTTTAAGCTTTCAAGGGTCTCTGTGACTTGATGCCCGTGGCTATTGGTGTTAGAAGTCAACTGCGCAGATTTCTAAGTTCGAAGTTAAAACGCCGAAATAATGTCAGTCAAAATTGGCTATCGGGAAAAATGAGTTCAAGCTAAACCAAAAGTGGATTCACCTCTGTAGATCGTTGCATTTTTATAGTGGACTCAAATAGGATGAAATTATGATGAGGAGATACTAACTCCTATTAAGTTTTGCAATATTACTACGTTTCTTATGCAAAGACTGATTTAATAATCTATAGCTAGTTTGGAACCATGACTCGGCGGCGTAGTTTTTAAGCTGTTGGCTACGGTCGTTGGTTCGATTCCAGCACTGGACAAGTATTTGTGTGACCCACAGATTGTTCCGGATCCGTGTGTTTGCTTAAAACGACGTCAGGCAGGGTCACATGTTGTGTTGAAACCACCCATGAAAGTGCACGAGACGAGAAAGAAGCTTGGAACGAAATTGCAATCCGTGGCCAGTTTGTACGTCCTGTTCAACTTGGTCGGTTAATAGTTCCCTTATCGCTCTCACACGGGGTCCGTTGTTTTTTTTTTTTTTATGGAGAAACAGGGGCAAACGAGCAGGAGGCTCACCTGATGGTAAGTGATTACCGCCGCCCAAGAACACCTGCAACACCCGAGGGCTCACAAATGCATTGCCGGCCTTTTAGAAAAGAGTATGCTCTCTTCTTGAAGGTTCCCAGGTCGTAACGGTTCGGAAAGACCGCCGGCGGCAGTTGGTTTCACAGGTTCCGTTGTTTTTATTCGTGTCCCAATCCTCGCAATCGTCTCGGTGTTGCATCGGCGAACCGCCACGCTTCACGTAAAGGTGTCACCGGAGGCCCTGGACTGTGGACGCACTTTCACTGAATTTCACCTCGATAGCTCGATAGACCGCGGCGGTGACTCACCGAACGCTTACGGCGCGCCCCCATTGATTTCTTTGTGCCAAATCGCGCTGCATCGTTTCGATTTCCGAACTGCGTGGCTGCGGTGCCCTTGCGTTTTCGTTATTTTTGTGTTTATCGTTTTTTTGTTGCAATTATCATCCGGGCTTTTATTTTCCGAACGCTGCTTTTGTCAGTAACAGCGATAAGGTTTCGTTTTCGTTTGTTCGATTATCGAATTGGTCTAATGGAAAAATGACTAAGTCATCACGATGATTTGTGAATAATAAAACGGAATACCTCTTCTTTTAAGTGCGACTCATGTTCAACTCCAATTGAATACTGCCGTTGTTTACTTTTTCAAAATTATATTTTACAGAGTTGCATGTAAGTTATAAATTTATACATTAAAATTTTTATTATGCTAATCTCTGCACTTAAGACTATAACTCTGCATTATAAATTTATGTTAAGATTCAATCACGATCAGAAATACTGTCGCTTGTATTGTAGCGTCTGTTGTAAAGCAAACGTGCGTAACGTCCCGGTTCAACGGTGCTTACATTCACTTTTCTTGAAAGCGAACTCAATGCGACTAGTCCAATCAAATAGATTATTCAGAAATAACAATAATAAACTTTTCATTACATATTTTATCACAACTTTATCTAGCCGCAAACTAAACAAAGCTTGTACTATGGGTATTAGATAATTGATTAATTTTATCAATTATCTCTTTTCTTTTGTAAATAGAAATATTATATTTTAGATATATTAACATCCGGAAACTTGAAAAACACTGCGTTCATCAAACCATATTTTTCAAGTAGTGGGAATCGAAGCCACACATTTGGCGCAAGGAGACAAAGAGGCCCATTATTCACTAAGCCAATAGGCTCGTCGTGAACTAATACTTGAAGTAGTTTGCGCATCTTGTAGAAGTTTCAGTTCTGTTCTGTTCATGTCGTATACGTAATAGGTAAAAACAAAATAAAGGACGTACGGATAACGCGAACTAACTGCTGGTTCAGTACAGACACGGAACAAACTTTGTGTGTTCCTCAGTTTTGGTTCCGAGTAAAACAATCAATGGCTTGTGGACGGTTTTTAAAGACGAGGAATGACTAAACGAAGTTACTCTATTCGCTTAAGAAATGCAGCACAAATCATACCTAAACACGTGAGCGGCAGAACTCAGAAACTATTGAAAAAGCGGGAACTTACATGTTCGGCAATTAATAAATGACTTTCGAATGAAGAACGAAACGAAAATAAAACACGACATTCACAAATTCCAGCGTAACGGGAGCAGGTCTCGAGAGCTGTGTACGGCGATAATGCGATAGATAAATCGTACCCGCTGGCGGCCGCTTGCGTAAGTTGAGTTTCGCAACTGGTACGCCAGCGCTGAGCTACGTACCGGCACTGTCCGCCCGCCGCCGGATTCGGTACGGCGCTAATTGGGAATCGGTACGGGGTCCGTTTGCATTTCGAGTAGGCATAGAGCGCTATTTATAAGTATTTTTTTTATTTTTTGTTAATTTTAGTATTTGTCTTTCTCTTAGTTTTATCTTTCTCTTTTATGATGTGCGTTTTTTTGGTAAATAAATTTATTTTCTTTCTTTTCCTTCTTTCTTTCTCTATTTTACCGACCACTTGTCTTTTGTTCGTTTTATTCTGTTAACATCTCATTCGTACATTTTATATGATTTGGAGGTTTAATTCATAGGACTCTCAACAAGGTAAAATACTGTGGTAGGACCACGCAACAGTTCCTCTGTTGCCCGATTAGGCAGGTCCGTCCGGGTAAGTTCCACGACCTCACAGAAGATCGGCGTGAAGTGGAAAGTGACATTTCCTCCTCACATTGATATAATGTAGCACTTCCGAATCTTGCATTTGCCTCGTTGTGACCTCTTTATATCGCGGGGTCAAAAATATTCGGCCGTAGACGACCGTACTCGGGTTATTTGTTTATCACGTCTAGCTGCTTCGTGTATCTGTAGATTCTCGGAAAGAAAAAGGCCTTATATATTTCCTTATATACGCACTGTTGGTTGTAACAGCCTGTATACGTCCCACTGCTGGGCAAAAGCCTCCTCTGTACAGATCGTATCAGGTCATAGTCCACCAGTAGACTTCTCATATCATCGGAATGTTTTGTTTTTTATTGTTACATAATTATTTCTAAAATATGCAGGTTTCCTCACGATGTTTTTCTTCCCCGATGAGCACGTAGAACAGTAAAGCAATCTAGTTGATGGTATGCTTACAGTGAATCAAAATAAGTCAATCATTCCCGTGGCACAGTTTATGAAGAACGGGTAAACTTCACCCAATAAACAAATGCTTTCGAAAACTTAACTCGTACGTTTTTAAAGAATGTCGTCTCACCCTTATAAAACATTAACACGTTAGGTATATTGTCTTTTATGTGTAGTGTACGTAGGGTTAATTTTTGCAAATAGGCCACTTTTAGTTTAAACCTGGAACGAAAACCGCGTTTTCCGGTCATAAACCTCTATATTTGATGCTAGGAAGGTGTAAAATATGGTACTTGTTTACATTTATTTTGAGTATTGTACTGGGTTAACGGTAGCTGGCAACACTGTGCTGTAGGGTTTGAATATAACGATTCCTGTAACTTCATAACTTTAGGAAATGTAGCGAACGGGATAATGATGATTGAATAACTATTAGAGACATGTTATAAAACATAGCTTTTACCGATTTATACAACTATAACTCAACAACGACTCAATAATTGGATAACGATAATACTTAGCTTTTCCAACAGAGCAACAGCCTTAACTTCCAATAACCCAAAACCAACCCACGTACGTTGTGAGAGTTGAATTTATACTCCGCAAAAACAAATACCAACCACCCCCCCAATCTAGGGTGTAGGAAATATCACGACGCAATAGGTATCAAACCAGCAACTTTTAAATAAGTCACAACAAACTGTATTAATAAATTATTAATTAGATTAAATATATACCATAATTATAACATAACATCATCTTCATTCTGGCCATTATGACGCACGATTTTTCGTCGGTTGAGATATTTGTTTGATACGCGGCCACGTCAATCGTTCCGACGTATTTGATGATGATTCGATAATAAATAGAACTTAATAACATACTTGAACTTGAAGAACTTTTAGAACGGCCATTATTAAAAGTGTTAAAAAAATAACTAATTCCGTTTCAATCGTCTTCTCTTCTTTTGTAAATTTGAGCAGACATACATAGTGAAAGTGCGAAAAGAATGCACAAATGCAATAACTTCTACATAATTATATGTAAATCAGGCCTGATTCAGTTTAAGAAACATCTGCGCTGTTAGGCGTTTATATTCGCAATCCAAAATGTCATATGTCGCCCCGCGAGCCGTAAGCGCTAATTGCAACGATAGTGATTTCATCGAAAACATTGACCTTTCTGGGGGATTAGGCAGGGCCTTGCGCGCTCCCGGGTTTGTGTGTGTGCTTACGCATCCGTTATCAACCTATCGCCGGGCGGTTGTTTATGTTGTTGGCCGAGCGTCATCGTCGCAGACCACAGTCAGTCAGTCGTTCGCGTGTCACGAACGCGTGCGCATGTGCCACCGTGCTCCGTCTCAGAACATTTTAATATTTAAAAAAAAAAACAATAACCCACACAGCCGACGGCACGAACGCTTAGCGCGCCTCTAAGTTAGCTGCGTGCCGTTTTTGTGGCGTGTCCCCAATAAGTTTCCGCGGCCGGTCCGACTCGATAACAATCCGCGCTATTCGTCGGCAGCGCACCGATGACACCGGGACGGTGCCGATTACGCGGCCATTGTGTGCGTGTTTAGTGCATTGTTGTGGAGCGTTCAAAGGATTGCAGTGATTGATATAGAATGCGAGCGATCAACGTCTGAGTGTGGTGAATCCAGCAGTAGGCGGTGAGTCGCCGCCCGATACCGTGATGTACGAGGTGTCCTGCGTTGCCGGGAACAAAGTGGACGCCGCGTACGCGGTGAAGAGCCTGTCCAACGTGATACCGCACAGCATGGGCCACTCGGTGTCGACGGCGCACCGCCACCACGGCCACTCGCAGTCGTACAAGCACAGGCCCGAGCCGCCGCCGCCGCCGGTTAGCAAGCCCGACGCGCTCAAGTCTCACGTGATGAGGCTCCTCAAGCGCTCGAAGAGCCACACGCCAGCGACCAGGGTAGCAGAGGTGCAAGGAGACGCGCGCGCCTTCGACCGCCGTACGGTCTTCTCGCGCCCCGTGGCAGACGAGCAGAGGAGGCGGCGCAACTCGGCCGAGAGGCGGCGCAGCGCCGACAAGCGGGTGATGGTGACGATAGTCGACGGCCTGCCCGTGGTGGTGACGGGCCGGGGTGAGATGCAGCCGCAGCCGCCGCCGCCGCCCCCGCCCCACCACCACCCGCCGCCGGTGACGCATCACAGGCACACGCACAGGGACAAGGTAAGGAGGCAAATAGCTAAGGAACACGGCGCGGATCGCGTACTCGCTGGTTGCCTAACTGAGACACGGCTTTTTTTGAAGTGAAACTTCTAATGCGACCTCCAACAAGGTTGCGTTAAACTTTTAACGCTACCATGTAGGGGGTATGGAAGCACTGTTGCGTTAAACGTTCAACGCTCATGGGGAGGAGGAATAGAAAGAGACATAGAGACTGATGTACGAGGCTGGTGCGATTGGCCTCATCGTCCGCAATTTCTTGTCCATTTACCAACGGGATTTGTGGATCAGAAAAGAAAAAGATTGGGTAGCTTGTGATGGGTTTCGTAATGAAATATCTTAGTTTTTTCCCGCGTACATGCGCGCGTTTAAATAGAAGACGGGCGTTTTTTAAATAGTTTTAATTACGCAGCTCCTCAATTAGAACCTTTTACGGTTATTAAGGTCCGAAGCGAGCCGTCGGCGTTTGGAGTGCTTTAATTGAATCTCCGCTGCGGTTCTCGACGAAGGCCCTAATCGCGCACTGAGTGGAGTTCGATTATGACTCTTGCGTCGTTTGCGTTAAAGCGTATATTGCGATTCCCGTAAGTAACGTGTGATTAATTAGTTTTATGTTCGATGATGCTGTAACATTTTTTTTATAGGATGGTGTCTAGATAATGATGGGAAGATTTAATAAAAGATTTATTTGCAGTTAAGATGTATTTATCTCTCCAATTTAAAGTTACAATCCCTGGACTAGCTCGGATACAATATATTTAAAATATAGTAATAATAATGAGTTGGGCGCCTTGTCTGTTAGGAACAGACTGTAGAAATAATCCCAATTAAGTATCTCAGGGAGTCGTGAGTACATACGACCTACACATTACTTTGTGCGACCATAAAAGGTAAATAATTAAATTAATTTGAGATTATGAAAGTTCTGCAATTCAATTCAAAAACAAAGTCCAATCAGGTAGTTATTTTAAATCTTTGTCACCGCAGACACCAGCCCTGTGTGCACAGGTCAGCGTTGAGCTCAGAACCAGTAGAGAAAATCAGGCCAAGTGTAGTGTGTACAGCTCACACTGTTGGGGGGGGGGGGGGGGGGGGGGGGGGTAGGAGACCTCCAACTGGAGGTAAAAAACAATATTTAATTGAGCAGCAGCTCAGACCAGCTTGCCAGCCACCTATGCCTTCAGCATCCACCACGAGGGACAACAAATCCAGCACAGAGTTTCCCAGACAGCAATCACAAATAATACGACCAGGAATGTGTTCTGATTTCAACCTCTAGCCATGCACGGTCGAAGATAATAGATCCACAAAAACTAATTTATCCAATGTCAATTCGAACCGGCGGCAATCTCAAATGACAAGTACGACCAAATGAAGTTAACTTTTACATTCGTCCTTTCGAACAGGCAAAGGTTCATATGACATGCAGCCTAGTCTTTAGAAAAACGACAATTTAGACAAAGTGATGAAATCACACGTTACAATGCTTTGGAATGTGTTAACGTTAATGTTTTAACAAGGTCGATTTGTTGTCTTAGGTCGCAGCCACTTCTCCCGACGACAAACGCTAAACAGGTTGTTTTTTTTTTCATGATAATATCACAACAAACAATGAAGAAAATGACAAACAAACATTTTTTTCATGAAAAAATGTATGCTTTTCTCGAAATCCTGGTGTCGCCACCCAATAATATTACACGATTCAAAAAATCTCATATGATTGACTCGTATGAAATTGCCGCACAATACCGGTGATCGGTCACCGAATCGTAATATAATCCATACTTCTATGCTATATTATAAATGCGAAAGTAACTCTGTCTGTCTGTTCGCTTTCACTCCAAAAATACTAAACCGATTTAAATGAAATTTGGTACTCAGATGGTCTAGAGACTGAGAAAGTCCATAGGCTATTTTTTAACTGGAAAAAAGTGTTTAAAGGGTTGCAAGACATTTATTTAAGGGCTTCAACGCTCAAGCTAGTAATGTATAAATACCTTATACGTTATTATATTATACGCCACCTTTCATTGAACAAATTGTCAGTTAATGACATTTATCATACATTGTTTATGAGAAATGTTGATACGAAGGTAATTTTTCCGGAAAACATTAACTTACTCTGTTCTCATTAGGGGAAAAAATAAGCAATATGAAATGGTATTTGAATCATTTAATTTAATGAAGAATTATTGAAGTTATGGAGTACCGGCAAAAATACACCTTTGAGAAATAATATGTATATAGTCTGCGCGCGCTTTCAATTTACTGCTTTATTAGAAACTCTGTCCTTTCAAACTTCGTCACCTCACCGAGTGTTATACGAGCACCCTATATCAATTTTGCATTACAGATTCACGCCTCGCAATGGCGCTTAATTATCGTCACGTCTCGGTGTCTTGGGAGTGTGTTGCGCCGAGATAATTCTATCTTTCCAGGCACACTCGACTGACAAGGGCAGCTTACTCCTCCTTAATTCCGAGACCTTCGCTAGGGACGTGTTTAATTGTAACTGTTAACAGCTGTGTGTAATTTTGAGGTTATTGAAAGCCATTAATTGTTTTTTTAATGTTCAATTAAAAAAAAAACAATTAGGCCTTTTAAAAAACATTTGCTTATGAACCTCGATATATACGCGGTTCGTATTCTTACATCTGCGCAGCAAGAAACTCTCCGATCACACTTGCATATGTTTTTATTTAGCACCATAACGACCCGCGAATGCTTTATCTAGCTTAGCATCCCCAGCGGGCGATCCAACGATTGATATCAATCCCATTATGTTACACATTGTTTCATCGACTTTTAATTAATTTTTACATTACATATAAATTCTCTGTTCATAACTGTTTTTTTATTACAACACGCTTATATTAAGAGATGTTTCTGACATCACATCTCGCAGATTAAAGTAATGATTTGTCTCGAACGAGTTGGTCACCCTAGTCGCTCCAACCCAATTGAATTACTACGCTTTACAATGTGATTAATGGCCCTCCGTTGTTGTTCGCACCATGTCCTGTCGCTCGGTGATGTGGCAGGGCGACCACGATTTTGTGGTAGATTCTAACAGCGGCTTCACGTGTTGCACAAATGGGCAGGCTCGTCCGGGGTAGTAACACGACCGCAATAAAGACTGGCGTAAACTTGTTTTACAATTTTGTATTTCGTGTAGTGGTAAAGGTTGGAACATTCAGTGTCTTTTGCCGTAATGATTTTAATAAAACGTGACCTCCGTAGTCTTGCATTTAAAATAAATGTATCACCAGGCCTAAAATATTCCTCAAATCTCCGCATACAAGTTCCCATATAATAGTAAAACTAGATAATAACAGTTTTGCGTTACAACTGCCTCTTTGATTTTTTTTGTATTTTATTTAACGGTAAAAAACTTATTGTACGTATACAACTGACCAAAGTTGACTAGCACTCTATACGTGAAAACTCATAAGAAACGGATGAGGAATACATTTTAATGTATGTACACGAGTTGTTACGTAAAAAAATATGAATACCAATCGTTATATTTGCGAAAGCGTTTGCAAATGTAATAACGTAAGTTCTTTTTATGAAAATAAAACGGATCAAATTTGACCCTCTAAGTGGTTAAATTAAACGATCTTCATAATTGTTAATTCGAAATGAATACAGCATACCGCAAAACACGATTACGGCAGACAACTTCGGCATTGTGCCGATCTGTCATACGTCAGCGATGCCGCATTATCGGTAAGGTCACCCTTGAAAGTTGCACTCTGATGCATTATGCCTTTGGATTCCGTCCGCTCAATGTTGACGAGGTATTCGGTTATGATTTACGACGAGGCTATCGCGTTGCATCGTAAATCTCCAATAAAGCGTATATAAGGTTTCGATTGTTTGCTGCATCGATGCCGGTCTATAGATTTGAAGATTCTATGGATCGAAAGATTTTGATGGATTGTGTGAAGAACGATATGTCTGTTAACTAGGTGAGTATTCAGATGACGGCCGATAAAGGAAATTAAAAGGAAAGAAAGGGCTTATTATACTGACCCCACTTCGTTTGGGACAAAGGCTGAAGAAGAGAGAATTAATAAAGAAAAAAACCGTTTATTCGTTCTGTTGGAAAGGCTGGATATGTTGAAACATTTGAGGTCATGAGACATTTGATACAGAGTATTTATAATCGCAATCTAAATCGAAAGATTATATAGATTTAATTTAGCAGACTTATGTGATTGCAATATAGTATAGTTAAAAATCTTTTAAAACTCGTTCGATTTACGGCGCTCGCCATCGTGAAGTATATTATTAGTTCAGTAGTTACCGAAATGCAGTGCGAAATAAACATAAAAAGCTTCGATTCTTCCATTATTTCTTCATATCAGTTACAAATATGTGATGATGACAATAGGCATGTACTTGCATGGGAGGGATGCTGTATAGCAGATGTGTAATATGCGATGGTACACCGTGTCAAACCGAAAGAGCGGTTCGCGCTACACCAAGCGGAATGGTTCGGATAGCCGCGTTTTCTGCCTCGCCGGGTGTACGTGCCTCCCCCCTATTTCCCCCTTCGGCCCTCCTTGATTCTCCCCTTTGCCTGTGTATCCGAATCGATGCGTGCTCAAACGAATCTGATTATCCTCGATCGTGCCACATACGAAACTCGTCTCTCTTTCGTATAACTTCTGGTCTAACTTCATTATACGTATTCTGTTGGGACGCCTAATTTAGTATATAGACACACAGATTACACTCTTACACAAACAGGCTTTGGACTTCGGGTGTTATGTGATTGGCATTTGAATGGAGCTGATCTCTTTATATTCGTCAATGGACTATAATATCGTATGTTAATGATTTATTTCCTTCTTATGAGTAGATTCAAGCAGAGACGTCACGAACCAATATACAAGTAGATTTTTTATACGCTATGCTACTCTATCGCTTAGCACGCCGTGACGTCACTGTCCACTATACTCGTAATAACATCGCAACGCTCCTAAAGTGCCTTTGAAATGTTCCGATCTAACCTCCTTACGATCAACGCACGTGCACCGTGACTGCATCGACAAAAAATGTTTACTCGGAATTAGTTCCGCGTTAACATATCTCAATGCTTCCTTAAATAGGAAACCTCTGTGCTGATTCAGTTATGTGGTTGTTATATAAACAATTGAACATACAACAATGCAAGTTGTCACGTCGTCTATATATATATATATATATATATACATCAGCTCCGACGTAGTAGATGGAGGTAGGTGATGCTTACCAGGTTGTACCAAACTCGTTCTTTTGCAAAACCTGGGCACGGAGGACATTGAATGAAAATGAAATGTTAGAACAGAAAAAGAACAGATCTTTCTCTGGAGAGTTTATAACTTGATTATTTTTTTTTTCATTTCTCTAACTGATTCGCGCAGAATGGGCTTTCGCTGTGAAACGAAAGAAGTAAAAAGTTAAGTAACAGCCTATATGTGCCCTTGCTGTGCAAAGGCCTCCTCTGTACAGTGTTTTTAGGGCGTAGTCCACTGTGGTGGACTAGCATTGGTAGACTTCTTTCTTCGCGCTTGGTCTTCACATCTTGAACCGCAAGCTCTTTTGCCACTTTGTCGCATAAAAAAAATTACTTCTTTTAAAGTATGATTGTCAATGGCTTATTAGCAGAGAGTTTCTTTCGAAACTTTTACAGTTTTAATTGAGCCACATTTTCTATTCGTTACCATGCTAATTACTATTCCCATTCGAGCGCACTTCCAAGACGTTGCGACGGCGCTTTTCAGCGTTGAAAGTGGAGCTTTTCAAGCCTTGTACACGTCACCGACCTGACTCCTAAAGAGCGCGTGGCTCGGGGCGTTGTGCGAACCTCTTTTTTTTAACTTTCTCTCTCACTATTAAAACTATAGCGGGTCGACCCGCTTACATACTGTATTGTGCCTATCGCACTTAGACTATATCTGACTTAAGCCATCTCTTATATACCAACCACAGGCTAATAATTGGCATATTTACGACTAATGTTAGACTTAGGTCTCTAAATTAAATATTCGGCTGTCGGCGACGATTTTGGGCCAACCGATTCGACTTTAGACCGGCTCGGGAAGTAGATATCCTTTTTTCTCAAATCGGCAACGTGTCTGTGACTATAGGATATAGTTTACATCTTCGGTCTTCGAAACAGCTTTAATTTCGACAGGACTTTACAAGTGATGCGATAATTTCTGCAACTGATATAAGCAGACCGTATAGACGCTTTATTTTTAGCCCGCGACGCTCATTTCAATAGCATCTAGCTTCGTTGTTGTATTTCGCTTAACGCCGTGCCTGCGATAGTCGTACTAGTAGTGAGGTATTTCGTATGTCATGAACTTTCCTTGTAAAGAATAACTGGATGGCAGTTAACTTTTACAGTTTCTTTATAACTTCAAATTCATAACAACTAAGCGGTTCATCTGATTTTAAGTGAGGGACTTGCGCCAGAGATGTTCGTACGCGCTTCGCCGACCACTGAGAGTGTGGCCCTTCAGTGACCTTACTCATAAGTACCAATTCTCTTGCTGTCTCTTTCCACTATCTAGTC